GCCGGGCTCGCCGCCCTCCTCCCGGCGCTCCGGCCGGTCGGGGAGAGTGGGACCGCGGCCGGGCTCGCCGCCCTCCTCCCGGCGCTCCGGCCGGTCGGGGAGAGCGGGGCCCCGGTCGGGCTCGCCGCCCTCCTCCCAGCGCTCCGGCCGGCTGGGACGAGCGGGGCTGCCCTCCCCCGGCGCTCTGGCTGGCTGGGGAGAGCGGGGCCGCGGCTGGGCTCTCTGCCCTCCTCCCGGCGCTGCAGCCACCGGGGAGAGCTGAGTCACGGCGGGCTCGCCGCCCTCCCCTGGCGCTCTGGTCGGCCGGGGAGAGCGGGGCTGCGGCCGGGCTCGGCGCCCTCCCCTGCCGCGCTCCCCAGCGGGGGGGCAGCGGGAGGCTTTTTTGCCTGGGGCAGCAAAAAAGCCAGAGCCAGCCCTGCCTGCCTGGCACCCCACAGACCCCATCACCCTGCCTGGCACCCCACAGACACTCCCCCCTCATCCTCTCTAGCACCCCCTGACATCCTCTCACCCTGTCTTGCACTCCACAGACCCCCTCACCCTGCCTGGCACCCCGCTGGCCACCCCGCCGCACCCCACCCTGCAGGAACCCGTCGGTCCGGCCCCTCCCCTCACCCGGCTCTAACAGCTGCACTATCGGCTCCACCACTGCTTGCTCCAGGGCAGAGCCGCTGTCGTTCTTGGCGCTCCCGGGCTGCTGGGCCAGCAGGCTCAGGAGCAGCCCCAGGCGCAGGGCGAGGCGCCCCGCGTCCCCGGCCGCCCGCAGCCCCATCCTCCGTCGCGCCCCGAGTGGCCGCCCCCGCGTCCTGAGCCCAGCGTCGAGCCGCCCCGGTGGAACCCGCCGCCGCAGCCCGGCAACCCCTGAGGCGTCACAAAGGGCCGGCTCAGCGTTCGGAGCTGCCACCAAGCCAGGCGGCGGGGGGGGGGGCAGGCTCCGCGCGCCTGCCTCTGCATGATAGTGCCAGGAGACACCCCCGCCCCCCGCCGCCCACTGTGTGGTCCCCCCGATCCTCTTTCCATCCTTCATGTCCTTAGTCCCCTCACCCCCCCCCCACTCCCTTCCCCTGTCCCTTGTTCTCCACCTGGCACCCCAAAAACATCCCCACCCTTCTCTACCCTTCCCTCCTGGCTGGGCACCCCCTACCAGAGCCTCCTTCTCTGCCTCCTTTCCATTGTACCTCACTCCCAGACATCTCTTCTGTCTCACAGCACCCAAGCAATGCCACCTTTGCTGCCCCTTCTCCCCAGGCAGCCGCCCAGATCCGCTGGCCATCGGACTGTCACAGCATCAGGAGCAGCCCTCCTTCTCAGTCCCACCCTAACATGTAGGAGGCAGAGTCTACTCAGATTTAAATTAGTCCAAATGAGAGCAGACTCTGGCCCATGATGCCCAAATACTAATTTGTATGTACATCTATGGCATCAATCCCGTATTTGTGTGCATGGACCTCAAAGCCCTGCTTTCTGAAAATGTGGACCACAAACTTTGTGCTGCCTGAATGTTGAGGACACTCATTACAGATAGGCCTCAGTAACACAATCTGTATATGGAATTAAACCCATAGAGCACTTCCCCAAACTTCAGGAGGAAAAGAGTTTGTATTCATTGTTCTGTTTCAGGCCTATTCCTAATAGAAATACTTACAATAGTATCTTACCTTTCGATAGCACCTGTCAACCCAAAGTATCCCAAAGCTCTTTTCAAGCTACATACATACAGCCCTGCTGAAATGCAGCCACATCTGGGGTAGAAAGATGACAGCTATATAGACAGCAGGTGTGCAAAACAACAGTTCTGAAGGAGAACGGGGATTTTGGCCAACTAGTACCCAATGCATCTTAACATCACAGGCCACAATGAACACGTGTCCCTAGTGCTCTGGTCTTTACACTGAATAGAGTCCAGCTCAAGGTCTCTGTCCTGATGCTCAAAACCTTGTCTGGAATTGGCCCAAGCTACTTTTAAAAAAGGGTGTCTCCCTCAGCAACCAGGACCTCCATTGACATGTGTGTTCCGCTGGAATGATGAAACTCAAACAATAGGAGGCTTATGAGTGCAGGAGATAGAACTCTCAAAGAAGCTGGACCAAGACTAGGGTATTAACTCTTGCAAGAGACAAGAATGAGCAGAGATCACATCCCTTTCAGAATTAAATGCTAATCTTATTTCAATTTAGCTTTCCCCCAATAATTTCTTCCCACACATATAGATACACAAAACACCCATTCACTCACACGCACAAACATAAACAAGCAAACAAACAAAATTCCTAAAAAGCAACAGACGGTCCTGTGGCATCTTAAAGGTGCCACAGGACCCTCTGTTGCTTTTTACAGATTCAGACTAACACGGCTACCCCTCTGATACTTAACAAAATTCCTGTGAACTGATGAAGCTATTTATCCTATGGGCTGGGAAGGAAGGAAGGAAGGAAGAGAGCTTATTACTTTTTAAAAATACATGGTAGGCTCTCATTTACTATAGTGATGGGGACGGGAATTTCACTCTGGGGAGTTTAGAGCACTGCCAGATTTTGATTTGATTAGTGGAGTGGCATTGCCTATTCCATCAAATGCATAAGACTTTCAAAGTTTATATTAGAGAGATAAAGTGGGTAGGTAACATATTTTATTGGACCAACTTCTGTTGGTGAGAGAGATAAAGTTTCGAGCCACATGGAGTTCTTCTTCAGGTCGGGGAAAGAGTAGAGTGGTCCCTTAGAATATGCACTAACTACTTATGCTAAACAATCTGTTCCACCTTACATTTAGCTGTGACACTCGGAGTACTTTTCCCAGACCCGAAGAAGAGCTCCGAGTGGCTCAGAAGCTGTCTCTCTCACCTATAGAAGTTGGTGCAATAAAAGATATTACCTCATCCACCTTGACTTTCTAATATACTGGGACTAACACGGCTACAACAATGCTGCATACAAAGTTTATATTGTCAGAATGATAAGGATATATTCTATAGCTTCAAGTCCCACCCAGTGAAACTTTTAAAACTAGATTGGGAAAACGTAACTAAATGTGAAATAAGGAATAATCCTCTGGAGGCAGTGAAATGATAAATTAGATGAATTAATAGGTCTTCTCCCACTCTACATTTTGATTCTTTCATCCTTTCAAAGCACTTTACAATATAGTGCCAATGCAATGCACCTCTGGTGTGGAGGACAGAAAACAACTGGTGCATAGAACAAATGACAATTTTGAGATGGTGGCAAGGAAAACCACTGCTATCACATAAGTGGATTTTTAATGTCCACACAGAGTAAACAGGAGCTCAGTTTTTAAGATCTTACCAAAATCCCCAGATTTTTTTAAAATGGACACAGTAAACTGCAGAGAACTAGTGGGTGGCTAGTTAGCATGCTTTATGTCAATATTATTCTTTAGTATGGAAGTTTATTCCATTTCTGCACTGCACCCCCACAAATATTGAGTGTCCATCCTCTCCATAAACTTGTGTCTAACTATTCCCCATGCTGTCTCTTCTTTTCCTAATCCTCCTTATTTTTCATCTCTTCCAGATGGGACACCATTTGAAAGTTATAAATGAGGACATAATGGAATTAAAATAAGACCACATAATGCCAATGAAATATACAGACCTAGGAAAGCTTTTTGAAGGGATCAAGAAAAACGCTAAATATTTTGCTCAAAAATAGAGGGTGTCCCTCCTAAGTAAGGTCACTGTGCAAGAACCTGCTCTCCTCACTCCCTTTACTCACTTGCTAGTGACTCCATGGAGGAGCACAGTGGATTGCCAAGTAGTGGGTTTGCCACACATACCTGTACTGCTCTCATGGCTGGTTGCATCCTGGGCTGCCCCAACAGGAAAGGGGCTGGCAAATTAACATCTTTGAAAGAGATTGCAACTGCTTCGTCACTTCTCCATCACCAGGACAGTAACAAAAGCATTTCTGCAGTGGATTGGGTGTTTGGAAGCTTTCTTCCAGGCTCTGCTCTTATCACTGGCACCATACCTCACTTAATACTTTTTCTCTCCCCAGCCAGTTATAGGAAGGGGAAAGTAGTCTTCCTGGGCCCATAGCAGCCACCACCACCCCAGGATCATAGGACCAGCAGTTACATGAGTGGTCAGAGTTGTATTTTCCTTACAGGTGCCCACATGGGTGTTGAGGGGGAGAGATGCACCCCAGGTAAAGTTGACACCTTCAGGAAGTACAAGGCTTGTGAAGTGTTATAAATATCCCTATCTTCATTAGTGCTCTTGGTTACCACTCAGGCTGTATTTGACAGACCTATTTAGCCACATAATGCAAAGTAGTTTCTTGCTTATTTTATTACTCTTATTGCCACTATTAGAGGATGGAACAAAAACTATTTGTATTTTTACCATAAATCCTCACTCATTCACATAAAGAGTACAACAAACATGGATGTTTCACAGTTTCTTTAGCTAATCATTGGTGTTTTCATAGTTTTGTAACTGCACATAACCAAAACACACACACCACTAAAATGGACTGTCAACATGTCTGTTTTATTCACAATGATAAACTTAGTGGCTTTAAACGCAAGAAAGATGCTCGATTCTTTCAGAAAATGTGAATTCCATGCCATGTTGTCTTCTGTGACAGAGTGCTTGAGGTCCATAGTATTTCTTGATTCACTGGGCATGAGCCAATGAATAATTCCCTAAGTTTTATTTAATAGAAACTTCCTGCAGCAGGAGCTGATGTCAGAAGGTCAGCACATCTGTAGTGGGTGGGTAGGGGGGAACACATTGAAAAACACCTCTTCCTATTTAATTCCCATGCATAGATAATGCCATGCTTCTTCCATTAAGTAAGAATTGTTGCCAAATTAATGTTTTCAACATTCATTTGGATCAATAGCAGAGCAGATTTTTTTTATTATGATTATTGTTTGGAAATCTGCAATCATGTCCTCAACATATTTGTACTCTCGCCTGTAAAATAAGTTATTTCAAATAAATTTCAGTACTTTACAGTAATGTGAAAAAAGTAACATACAAAGATATTAGATCATAATCAGACCTGGGATAAGTATATGCAATTCTGCTGAAGTTTGAGTAGTTGTATCTACTTACTTCAACATCTGAATTTAGCCCTCAGTATCTATCAACAGGGGACCAAACACTAGAATAAACTTAAACTAAGAGAATTAGTGGGATATCTCATGTGGAACCTGTGGTACTGACGACTGTGCCTTTAAGGGCTGAGCTTCCCAGAGTGTGGGTGGGTGCTGTGAAACTCTTGTTGTTACACACAGCCAATTAAAACTGGACAGAGCCATTTTATACTGGACTCAAATGAACAGCAACATAGAGGAAGCTGTTAAGGCTTGTTACATATGCTAAAAATACAGGCCCAGTAAAGTGAATGAGACCACGCTGTTGGCACAGGAAAAATTAACCCTCTGGAGCAAAGCAGGCATAGATTTGTTTATGTTGGCTAGAAAAAACTATGTATTTGTCCTAAATTATTATTCTCACTTTCCTGAGATAGTCCTACTAGAAGATACTATATCTAAATAGGTGATTGTGCCTATCAAATCTGTTTTTGCTAGTATATGGTATACCTGACATAGTAGTATCAGTCAATGGGGCACAGTTTAGTGGGCATTAGTTTAAGCTTTTTGTAGTGAAGTACAGGTTTAGACATGTAACCACTAGTCTCCATTATCCCCAATCCAATGAGTTGGTGGGAAACAGTATCAAAATAATAAAGCACCTACTGAAAAAAGCTGTGGAGTCAGACTGATCTGTATTTAGCACTGTTAAATTACAGAATAACATCAATGAAGCAGGGGTTGTTACCTGCTGAAATTTTGTTGGACAGAAAATGAAAAACAAGAA